AATGACAATAAACTCACAGCTATCAACAACTGAACTTAAAAAAATAAATAGTCTAAGAAAACAAGTAGGACAGGGAGAGAATCACAGAAATGGAGATCATGGGGAGGGTTATCAGTGAGGGAAGGGAGAATGGGGATGGAAGGTACAGGGAATAAGAAGTGTAACTGGTAGGCACACAGTAGATGGGGTGGGGGGTTAAGAATAGAACAGAAAAGGAAGAAGCTGAAGAACTTACACGTCCGACCCACGGACATGAACTAAGGGGAGGAGTGCTAGAGGGAAAGAGAGTACCAAGAGGAGGGGCATAAAGGGGAGAAATAATGCAACAATTGTAACAGCAAAATCAAAAAATAAACTAAAAAATAAAAATTAAAAATAAAATGCAAAAGGAATTTAAAAACCACCCCAAGGTCCTTCAGCTTCTGAACAGAGAACAGGTGACCTCACTAGGCCAATCAGCTCTGCCGATGCAGCTTAGGCTAGACTGCAGAGGCAGGTTCACTCGGAGGGGGTAATGGGTGAGCCACCTCCACTGTTCAGCCCCCCTTGCTACTGGGGCACTTGGGTGTGGGGTGGAGCTGGCACTGACCTTTGGTCCCTCCAGAGCTGCTGACAGCCTGGGTCTTGTCCCAGGGGAGATTTGCTCCCTGGAATTAGAGGCTGGAGGTCACCACACTCACAGGATCTGACCCCCCAAGCTCCCTCTCCTGTTGGGGGAGCCTTAGACTGCACCAGGTGGGAAGCCTCCTCCTGCGTCTCAGCCTCCTGCTTGTTGGGCCTCACAGAGCTGGGCCCCTGAGCTGGAGGGAGCCTGGCAGCAACCAGGCAAGCATGGCCCCTTCTGGAACCCCCACATGGAGGCTGACATCTCAGCCTGGGAGTCGGCACACGGCCCCCTTTGGTAGCAGCGTGGAGGAGTTCCTCGCTTGTCCCTCAGCCTCTGAGAGCCTGAGCTTCCAGGGGAGCCCTGTGCGAGGGTCCAGCCTGGTCTCTCTTGCAGGGAGGGGGTCAAGGGCCCGCCAGCTTCTTCCTGTGTGGGCAGGTACAGCCAGGGAGGTGACGCCCGAATTCCCAAGTCAGAGTGGTGGTGGCTGTGGTGATGGTCATGGAGAATGGCCAGATGGAGTGGCTGCTCAGTAGGGTCGCTGGTGGCAGAGGATGGGGAGGAAGTGTGAGAAGTTGGGGACCCGGCCCTTCTGAGACCCTACCCAGGCCACACTAGGAAGTAGCGGAGGGTAATACTGCAGTGGTGAATTTTTTTCTTAATCCTTGTACGAGCATATATTTATTGATTTTGTTTTTAAGAGCCAGAGTTTGGGAAGGAGAAAAAAGAGTAACATCAATCAATTACCTCCTGTACATGCCCTGACCGGGGATCAAAATCACAACCTAGGGACATGCCTTGCTCAGTAATCAAACCCAAAACCTCTTGGTGATGGGACGACCCTCCAACAAACTGAGCCACCTGGCGAGGCCTGAGGTGGTTAATTTTTTTAAAAAGATTTATTTTTTTTGTACTTCTATGTTCATCACAAAGTTATTCATAATAGCTGAGTTTTAGAAACAGCCCAAGTGCCCATCAGTAGATGAGTAGATAAAAAAGCTGTGGTATATTTGCACAATGGAATACCAACTGGGAATAAAAACGAACAAAATCTTCCCTTTTGGGACAGCATGGATGGTCCTGCAGAGCATTAAACCCAGTGAGATGAGCTGGTCAGAGGAAACAAATACCACGATTTCACTCACATGTGGAATCTAATGACCAACATAAACAAAGTAGAATCTGACGCCCACAGAGAGAACAGACAGACCCCTGTCAGAGGGGCGGGGCTGGGCAGGGCTGGGTGCAGAGGGTGGTGACCAGAGGGGAAGGTGGGGGATGGGAGGTAGGAGAAGGTAAAGGGGGATAAATGGTGGTGGTAGTGTTACAGAGCAGACCTGGGGGGAGTGAACGATCTACTATTACCAGAAGGATCCCCCCTTTTCTCCAAGGGTTCCCCCCCATCTACTAGGTTCGCTTTGCCCACTGCCAGAGGAAACACATCTCTCAATGCCAGAGATTGGTGAAAAGGGAAGGAATTATTTATTTAAAAGTTATACAGACTTAGAGTAATGACTTAATGTCTTCATTAAAATACCAAAATTCTTTAGAATACCCACAAACGGACAAGGTTCTTTCTTCTCCCCTTTGCCCAGTCCAGGGCACAGTGTCTTGGGCAAAAAAAAGCAAAAGTCTGTGGTTCAGGCAGCCCCTCGGTTCTGGCACCATCCGCTGTGTCGCCATCCCGATCTCCAGTTAATCCAAAGCCATGTGGCACCTTCTCATGAGCCACCAGCAAGAGTCCTTTCACCCCCTTTTCCTTCCAGGCAAAGTGTCTCCTGATGCCTAAGCCACGTGGAAAACGGGAGCACCCTAAAGCCACATGGTCCTAACTCTCGCCCAAGCCTTGTGGTCACAACCTACTCTGCCAAAGCTGTGTGGTCCCTCTTGGTATGGCTGCTGACCCTGGGTTTAAATGCCCACCCTAATCTTCCTCTGCAGCCCCATTTCTGACTCCTCCCACAACCAGTCACACCTGCCAACATTCCCTCATTCCTCCAGCTTTACTGGGACTGCCATAGTAAGTCTGGGCAGGCATGGTCGTGGTGGTGTGGAGACAATCATCTGCAAGCTGTCACACAGGCTCTGTACCCAGGGGCAGTTGCCTCCCAGTTACATCTTGGGTAGAACTCACTTCCATCTCCCTGGCTCAAAGCATGGCCACAGCTGTTTAACATATCTGTGAAACCAGCTAAAGGTTACAGATACTGTAAACGACTGATGCCAGAGGTTCGCTGCAAAGCTGTTGCTGTACCAAACAGCTCTCCATGGCCCTGCTCCATGTGTCCCATCCCTCAGCTCAGACTGGTGGAGGGTGAGGACATCATATATATATTTTTCTAATATTTCTTGGACACCCTGAGTTCTGGGCCCCATTACAAATCCCTATTTGGGGCCCCCTCTTGGCTGCACCCTGTAACAGTAGACGATGTTGGGTGGTGAACACACAGTCCAACACACAGATGATGTGTTGTAGAACGGTACACCTGAAACCGATATAATTTTATTAACCAGTGTCACCCCCATAAATTCCATAGACATTTTTAAAAAGAAAAAGAAAAAGAAAGAATATTTTGTGTAAAATGATTGTGCTGCCACAACTGGTAAACTCGGTTGGTTGGAGTGTCATTCTGTAACCAAAATGCAGCGGGTTTGATTCCCTGTCTGGCCACACACCTAGGTTGCAGGTTCAATTCCTGGCTGGGGTGTGTGAGGTTCCCCAGCTGGGATGCACACAGTCCCAGTCCAGGTGCAGGAAGGAGGCAGCAGGTCACTGCTTTTCACTCACTTTGATTTTTCTCTCTCTCCTTCCCTCTCTCCCTTCCCCTCTCTCTAAAAGCAATGAAAAAAAAAAGTCCTTGTTTGGGCATAAATAGTAATAATTATAATAAAATGAGTGTGTCCCCTTGGGAGCTGCTGATGGGAATGTAAGTCTTCTCTAAAGGAGAACTTTCTCAGAAAAGTTCAAGAAATACATGATCACATCAAAAATGTAAAAGCTAACAGGCAAAAGGAAACCAAAACAAGAAACAAGCCACTGAGAAAGAGACGGTAGGAGAAAAACAGAACTGAATAACTCACAAAGCCTTTTCATATTGGGATTATTAGACACAGACTATAAAATAGGTATATTTAATATATATTTATATGAAAAAAGGGATTGGACATGTGAATCATTTCAATGAGGGGAAAGGGAATATTTTTAAATGATTGAGTAGATCTGATAAAAGAAACTGAGTATTTGGGAATACATAAGAGAATAATGAGAATATTTTGCCATAAAGAAAACCAAATCTTTTAAAGTCAAATATATCATTTCTGTTACCTTATTAAAAAGACTTACTTTTTAGAGCAGTTCTAGGCTCACAGAAAAACCAAGGGAAGGTACAGAGATGTCCCGTCCCCCCGACCCCACTCATGCACAGCCTCCCCCGCTGTCCACAGTCCCCGGAGGGGACACTGTTGTCACAATCGCTGAACCTGCAGTGACACAGCATCATAAGCCAGGTCCTTAGTCTACCTCAGGGGCCGCTCTCGCTGCTGCGCATTCTACGAGTTTGGGCCAATGGTGACATCACGCACCCCCATCCCAGTGTCCCACAGAGGGGTGTCCTGCCCTCAGTGTCGGGGTGGGGGTCTTCAGCGTCCCCCCCGGGGGCAGCTGGAGCCTCGGCAAGGGGGCGCCCAGAGATGAGAGCATTCCCTCTGCTATCACAGGTGGTGAGGAGGAGGCCCCTGAGTTCAAAGAGAAAAGCAGCACTTTCTACCAGGGGGGCTGCCTGAGGGAGGTCACTCGGGGAGGGCCATGCCTTGTGAGGGGCCCCCAGGTACCAGAGGGCGGGACTCCACGGGCGGATGGTGATGGGGGGAGAATCTCATGTTCGCGTTCTGCCCCCTGAGAGTGAAAGGAGTAATGTCCAGTGGGAACAAGGGTCGGTCTGCACAGAACCACGGGGGACGGTCCTCTGAGCTCCTGCTGCAGACCAGACAGGGGTAGGGGTCTCTCACCCACTGTCTCACGCTGTCACTGGGACGTGGACCCCGGCCCATCTGGGAGAGAAGGACCTGAGGCCTGGGAGTCAGGAACGTCACCCAGGGCCACATGGCCAGACATTGCTGGTGTCCCCATAGGCGCTGAAGCTCCTCCCATATGGTTTAGAAGTCTACACAACACACAGTGGAATTCCTCTGTGAAGGGAAAGGCAGATACATTTATTCATTCTAGGTCTTGGTACAATTATTCCATCCTTTGGTCAGCGAGCGGGAGAGGGAGGGACACAACTGCGGGCTGCACGGGAGCCGGGGTCAGGGAGACAGCGGAGGTGGGGGTGTTGGCTGGTCAGCGGCTTCGAGGGCAGGATCCTGTGGCTTCTTCAGGCTGTCACTGGTGTGGGGATCAGTTCCTCATTATAGAATTAGCAAGGGTGGCTGCTCCAATAGCAGCCGCACCTAAGGCTGACACCAGCCCTGCTCCCATTGCGGCGTTTTCAACCTGAAAGTGGGCAGCCCGTGTCAGAATCCACAGCCCAACCAGGCAGGTCCTCCCTCCCTCCCAAGGCGAGCCCAGGGTCCTCTCCTCAGAGGATGCTGGCCCCATTCCCTGGGAAACAGAAGTGGTGACCACTTCTCAGTGGTGGGCTTGTCTGGATTTGTCCCGCCAACCGGCAGGAGGGGCTGATGGAGTCCTCTGTGTGCACTCCCTGGGGGAGGCCGTGTGTTCCCGGCCTGGGTGGGTGGGGAGGAGGCTTTGTGCCTGGGGGTCCTGGGCCCAGAGCTCTGGGGTCAAGGTGGGAATGGCTGTGTGGTCTGGGCTCTCCCTGGGGCCGCCCCTGCAGGGGGACGCTTGTGGCAGAGGCTGAGGGGAGACCCTGGGAAACCATGGCCACACTGTGGACTGTTCACAAGTGCAGCCTGGAAACTTCGCCTTCCAGTACCCCTCAGCCTTGACCTCCAGACTCACATGTCCATCTGCTGCTCAACATGCCCACCTGGACGTCTGGCTGGCCACACACACCCCACCTTTGCATCGAACCCTTACCCCCTGCACACCTGCACCTCTTGCCCCCACTCCCTCTCACCCAGGCCCCCACCCACCCAGTCTCGGGGGCCTCCAGCCCTGGGGGCGCTGTGGTTCAACAGTGAAGAGCAGGGAAACTGGGCTTTGAATCCTGCTCCTGCCCTCACTAGGTGGGTGTGTTGGGACTACACACTGGGAAGAGAGGGAGGGGAAGGGGGAGGGGTTAAAACTGTGCCCAGGTGGGACACAAAGGTGTCCTTGAGCTGGCACGTGGGCCCACTGACCGAGCACCTCCTGCCCCAGTGCTCTTTGGGGCCCTAGGAGAGCTGGCCTGCCATGGTGCTGGGTGGGCTCAGATGTTCCCAGACTACACACAGGGGCCCCAGGGACTGCCTTTAGGGGGTCTTACAGGTGAAGGGTCCTAAGGGGAGAGAGCTGGTGAGATCCCCAGAGTTCCTCCTACCGCCTGTCCTTCTGGGCATGGAGAATCTGAGGCTCAGAAAGGGAGTGACCTGTGTAATGGCCCTATACGGCTTGGAAGCAGACCTGAGAATTGCTCTAAGATACGCTGCCTCCTAGCCTGCATGGTCTCCAGAGCCTGCCTTTGCATATTCCGGGTAACTATTCCCTCTGGGCGCACAGCCCGGTCACCCCCACCCAAAGCACACCTGCAGGAGAGAAAAGGGACCACCCCAGAGAGGGTCTTACCTGCCGGCTTGTAGGCTCGCCGTATCTCAGTTCGGTGACAAAGTGCTCACAGTTCTTCCTCAGAACATTGTACTCTGCCTTCTCACCAAGCCTCTTATGGGCGGCACGGACAATCTCCCTCATGGGCCGTGGTGGGTGATCCTCGTCCAACTTGTTGTTGACCCGATAGTGACAGTTCCTGGCCACATCGGTCAGGAGCTCCTTTTTCACCTCCCCCCTGACAGTCATACCGGAGGCGATCATGATGGAGTCAGCTGAGGGGGAACCCATCTGGAATCCGAGACACCTCGGATCAGCATGGAGGCAGGGGCGGGGGCAGCGTAAGAGGGAGAAGAGTGAGAAGAGAAGGCAGGGCGCAGGGAACCCCCTCGTGAGCTTTTGGTGTCTGTCCCTTCGCAGATGTGACTGGAGGATTCATGGGTTTTGCTCTTTTGGATTTAAAACTTGTGACTATGTTCATGTCATAAAGTTGGCTGCCTTGTGTTCCATTACATGAATGGTCACCATCTAGCTGACCAGCCCCCCTCCTGCCACTGGGCACACAGGCTGTTCCACGGCTGAGCCACCATGAACAGTGGTCATGTGTCACACGTGTCCTGTGTCCATCCTGGTGACGTGTAGTTTCAGGGAGGGATGGACCTGGAGTCAGCACCCACAGTATGTCAGACTCTCTGCAGTGCGACTGTTCCCACAGCACCAACCTCATTGTCCTCTTCAGTTTCAGAGTAAAGATAATCACGGTCCCTTCATGACAGATATTGGACCTGGGACACATTCTCGGGCGTTCCTGACAGAGCTGTGGCCAGTGGAGAGGCCCACACCGGAGCCGCCAGCTCCTGGGGCCCCAAGTCCATCCCATTGGGTCCCGGGGTCATGTTCTGGGAGGGTGGGTGGGCAACAGTGTGCACAGCAACTGAGCACGCTCAGTTTATGGTTCCCGTCTGAAGGCTGAGGTTCCCACTGAGCGCCCCTCCCTTAAGGACCCCCTGCCCCCACACGTGCAGACAGCCCACACCCTGGGGGCTACAGCCCTGCTCTCTGCTCCAAGCCTCCCGAAGTGTGGCCCTGATTAGGGGGGTTGCATTCACTGGTTTCCATCCGTTCAGACATTGTTACGACTGTCAGGGTAGCTGAGAGCTTACAGAAAATGGACAAGATGCAAAGATTATTCTGACAACAGACTCCTTCTGGGGACAGTGCAAACCCTCGTGTCCAAGGTTAGGGTGACGGGCTCTGCGGGACATGCAGCCCTGGCCCTCAGTTACCAGTCCCACCCCAGCATCCCTCCGTCCTGGGCCCGGCACGCACACCTGCATCCTGTACTCCCCTCGGACCTGCCGGGCCGTCCTGCCTCCCCTGCTCTCCAGGAGTTGAAGAGAGCGCTGGGGGCACTCAGGTGCGGCTGTGAGAGGATGCTCTTAGTGACATGTCACCATGAGAGCTGCCTCTCTTGAGGGCAACTAAGTGCACACTGATGACACCTTTTCTGTGATATCACATGAGTGCCCAGGACAGAGCACTGAAGAACCTTGTCCTTTATGCGACCACAGACACTCAGAGCCTTTGCTGGTTTAAGTGACATCAGCCCCCACCTGCCCAGGTAACCGGGCACCGAGCGGCAGAGCCCCCAGTGCCGAACCACCTGGCTGCACTGGGGCATCCACGAACCTCTTTCCCTGCCTTGTCAGGCCCTGTGGGACCCACTGGGGTGACTAGAGGGACATGGATGGAGGGTGACCCCACCCACTGCTCAGGGAGAAACCAACTCGGGTTTCCCATGGTGGCATTGGGCTTTGAGTTATTCTCATTATGTTAATGAAACTTCTGAAAATCAGACTTTCACAGTCCTTACTTAGAGGAGCCAGATGGATCACGTAGCCACCTCCCACGTAGAGCGCCCAGTGCTGGTAGCCAACACGGAAAATCTCAATCAGGTCTCCAGGATTGTATTCGCTACTGAACTGTAAGAGAAAATGCCAGAAGGGTGTACACAGATTTCTAGGCCCCAGCAAAGGCCCTGCCTGGTGAGTTGCTGCTTGGCCTGGAGACCCCTGGCTGGTGCTCATCACCTGGTGAGGGTGTGCGGAGCACGGGTTTGCGCTGGTTCACAGACTGAGGCTCAGAGAGGGGGCAGGGAGTGCAGGGAGCACCTGGAGGGAAAGCAGCTGCACTGGGTCTTCTCTGCCCCGGGTCTCCCAGTCCCTGGGTCCCTGCCCCCTCCCCTCCCACAGCTCCTTCCTGGGCCCCAGTGCACTGCCCAGGGAGTGGCCGTTTCGACACTGGAGAATATTTCAGATTTACTTTCCTTTTCTGCCTGACCTCAGCAAATAGCAGCCCCGCCACAGCCCTCACCCCAGGACGCCCGATCTGAGGCCAGGGGTCCGCTTCCCTTTGCCCTCCTTCCTGCCAACACCCAACACCGGTGTTGACCCTGGAAGTTTCTCCTGATTCACGTCCTTGCTCATCTCTTCACAGATGACTTGGTTCAGGGCCTCCCGGTTCCCCATTATGTGACCCTCATGGTGTCCTGAGCAGCCCCCTGCCTCCTGTGCCTCTCCCTCCCCTCCAGTCTCCCCAAGACCCACTGTGGCTTCCCACAGGGCCCACCTGGAAATGACCTTTGTCTGGCCTCAGAACTCAGGCTGGCCCGTGGGCAGCTCTCAGGCCCCTCAGGCCGACCCCTCCTGGCCCCCCGGCCCTCCCAGCACACCCCCCGGGCCACTGCGGCCTTGCCTTCCCTCCAGGCAGCTCACGCCCACCTCTGCCCCTCTGCACACACATGTGCTTCTCTGTCCTCCTCTCCCCCCGCCCCACCCCCACGCCTTCTCTCCCCCCATCAGACAGACACCCCTCCTCTGAGAAGCTGCCCTGAGGGCCCCAGCCTGGCTCAGCTGACACTCTCTGGGTCCCCAGGCCCCGGGGACCTGCACCTCTCCCCACAAGGACCACGTGGCACTGCAGGTCCCTGTGCCTGTCTGCACCCCTCTGGGCTTTGAGCTCCAGTCAGGGAGGTCCCTGTGTGCTGGGCCCTCCCTCCCTGCATCTCCAGGATCCCCCCCCAACACCCCCTCTATAGGGGCTTGGTCTGCAGTAGGAGGGAAGGAAGTGTGTGAGGAGGAAGAAAGTGGGGCTGTCAGCAGGGCCATTATTCCCCAGCTCCTCCTCTCTGTGCCCAGGGCAGGGCGGGCCCAGCGCCGGCTCCATCTGGGAGGGCAGGAGCGGATTTCTCACTTGGAAATTAAATGTCTAACCAAGGCCAGGCCTGGGCACTGTCCACATAGTCCAGGGCAGATGAAAGGCTCTCTCTGCCAAGCCAGACCACTTTCCGAATTGTACTACTCAAAATAATCTTCCTTTAGAGAAGCAGAAGTCTGCAGCTCAGCATTCCCTGGTCCCAGTTCAACTCCAAGCAACTGTCAGGAGTCTGTGTGCACCTGCCTGAGTCCCTCGCAGGGCCTGCGTCTCTCCTCTGGACCTGCCTTTACTGAAGCTGTCAGTTCACTAGTGTGTCTGCATGCCTGTCCCGGCAGGGCCCCACCATCCCGCCAGCTCTGCCAGGGTCTTCTGTGGGGGAGGGGCGCTGAGCACGTTTCCACCTGACCTTCAGGCCCAGAGACTTCCAGACCTGCAGACAGACCTCCAGGCAGACCTCATGTTCCTCGGTCCACGCCAATTTTAAAAGCTCTGCTCATTGGTTCCCAGGCGACTGCACGTCGGGCTCTTCCTTTGGTGCATTAGTGTCTGCCAGTTTGTCAGCCTCTCAGTGTCCTCGACCCTCTTTTGGCTGCCATCTTTAGTCAGGGCAAGAGTTTCCCTGCCACGCTCAAGCACACACGTATCTGTTTGTTCAGGGTGGAGCTTCGGGACCCGGCAGCTGAGGCAGGCGCTGTATGAGCTCTTGCCCTGCAGGCCGCTGTGTCATGAGTCAACCTACCAGGTGTCAAGAGTCACTGGCTTGTTCATCATCAGGTGCACAGTCTGCCCCACAGCAGCCTTCCTCTGCAGCTGCTCCCTCCAGAGAGCACGGGCTGTTAATCTGCCTTTGTTGTGCAATGTGCCTTGAGTGCTGTGCTTTCTACTCTGGGCATGCTTCCCAGCCCTCCTGCCTTTCTGCAGAATTTGGGGGGATAGGGGAGGTTCCCCTGTTTTCAGGGACCTCTGTTTCGACCTACCTGGGTTCAGAAAGATGTCCAGCATCAGGTGGCGGCTGGCCCAAAGGGCTCTGGCCACCGGGGCAGAGGGGCATTAGCTAACTGACCCCACTGTCCTTCTCCAGAATGGAGGGCATATGCTGAGGAGGCCCAGGCCCGGAGGGAGCAAGACCGCGAGGGCTGTGAGGCCGCTGGTGGGCAGAGATGCTGCAGTGCGTCCTGAGTCAGCTGTAGTCCAGTCTCAGCTCCAGTCCCCTGTCTCCTGACAAGGAAGCTCTTTGTGTGCCCCACAGCAGTATGCTAAGGGCCCTCCCCACTCCCCCCACCCTCCCTGCCTGTCCAGTTGGCCTGGGATGCTACCGCCCACAGGGGGCGTCAGATGAGGGACTCTGATTTGGGGCTTCGGGTCGGGGAGCGCACTGGTGCCTTAAAAAGGCCTGTCCGCACCCAGACAGTCGTGGGCTTGGGCTTCCATTTGGTCTAGAACCTGTGCTCCCGGACTGCGGTCCAGGGTGTTAGGTCAGAGTCGGAGTCGCTCAAGAAACCAGACGGGACGCAGTGAGCAGGGTTTATTAGCGGGGAATGAGAGAGAAAGTGGGGCCAACCTAGGGAGGTTGGGACTTGCTTGGCTGTTCTTGGGGCAGGAATTTTAAGCACAAACTCCCACAAAGGGTAAGTGGTTGGGTGCTGTTCCTGCTGATCACTGTTCTTGATCCGTCCTGTCTGGCTCAAGGTGAAGCTGCATCCTGTGATGCCGGATGGGCAGACCCCAGACCCCCAGTCTCAGCCAGGCCTCTGGTTGTCCTGGGGCGGGGGTCGGCAGGCAGGCATTTTTCTCACCATACGGTTTTCCTCCTGGTGATTTTCCATTCCTCCTAGGCCTGCCTAGGTGTGTCTCGGAGGCGGAGAGGGGTTGGTCTCTGCCACACCTCTGGCCCCGGGGGCTCACAGTTTCCAGCTGGGGTGGGGAGCGTGCCTCTGAGGACAGGTTCGTTGAGTTCCATCGGCTTTGACGTTGGTGGGAATGCTGGTATGTTCTGGTAAGTCCCTGTTTTCGGGGCTCCTTGGGGTTCCTCCCTCCTCAGGACGCTTCCGCTTTGGCGTCTGCCCCTCCATCCTGCCTGGCCTGACCCCAGCCTCACCCGATGCTGATGGTCCCTCCCTTCTCCTCTTCCTCCTGGCGTGTCCCCTGGCCCTGCTTGAAGAAGGAGCAGAGTTTATGTGAACTTTGATTTTATTTCATTTAGAAAAATTATCTATTATCATTATTAGTTTGCAATACATGCTAAATCTAAATATCACAAATATGAATTTCCTCTTACTCAAACATGAATCAATGAATGAATCATAACCCCTCAGGTACCCGGCAAATGTCTTACGTCAGCTGATCCATGCTTTAAATACAGGTGTCTGATCCTGGGCAGGGCACAAAGAAGACGAAATTCTCCGTGGACGGATGGCTTCAGTAAGTCCCCAGAAAGCTCTTACTTTAAATGCTGTGACTCCGTTCGTGGTGACTGCGTGGGGTTCCTTGTCAGTCTGCAGTGCAGGCACAGGGGCCTGGGGTGGGAGGTGGGGGCACGGGTAGGGGGCTAGGAGGGCTCCCCAGGGCCTTCCTGAGGGGGTGAGAATGGTGGGCTCAGGCAGGGCAGCCCCTGCCCCCTGCCCAGGCCCACCTCCTCAGTCACACTGTCCCGGGTGGGTGGGTCAGCTAGGACGGAGGGACCAGGGAGATGGAGCAGAGCGGCGTGGGGCCGAGCGGGGGCTGCCAGGAAGGCGCCCTTGTCCACCCCCATCTCCGAAGACCTTCTCTCTTTTCCCCTTGCCTTTTCCGTCCGCCCCTCCCTTCCCCTTCCACTTTTGGCTCCTTCCCTCTGGCTCCCCAATGGTCCCACTTCCTGAGTGCTCACTACAACCCCACACCATGGGAAGGGCTTTGGTTTAATCTTCCCAACAGACCCTCCAGGCAGACCCTGTGTTTCTCGCTGGGCTCCAATTTTAAAAATTTGTTTCAGAATTTCCTGTGGGTCTGAGCATCTGGCTCTTCCTAGGGTGCATTCGTGTCTGCCCGTTTGGTCAGCTTCCCGGTGTCTTGGAACGGCTTCCGGTTGCCATCTTTAGTCAGGGCAAGAGTGTCCCAGCCCTGGGCTTCCCTCCACTTTACAGACAAGGGCACTGAACTCTGGTAAAGTGACTCCCTTTCTCAGAGATAGAGGGGTATTTGAACTTAGGTGAGTCTTACGCCGGAGCCTTTACTTAAAACATAATAATTCCTTTAATTCCATAAGAAACATGTGCATACATTTTCTTTATTAAACATACACACATACACACACCCCAAACCCAGAGGGAAACTGTTAACATGAAGGCTAAAGTCCCCTTGCACCACCACTGTGTCCCAGATGGCCCCTCCCTGTTCCCTAGGGCTTTGGCCCCGCCCCCTCCCTAGGGCTTGGTGTTTCTCCTTCCAGATATTCCCTACTCATTTGCATATGCAGCATATAGCCTCCTTTTAAGTGTTGTTGTGTGGCTTTGGGTTTTACAGTTAGTTCATTTAGGAAATGCTTGAATCTTTTCTTTTATATATGAGTTTTCGAATTACTATGGTGATTCTTTTTACATCCTCCAAAGGTGACTAATGAATTTTTTAAAAATATCATTATGAACACACTGATATCACTTTCCTACGTTTGATGTGTTTCTTTTGGATGTGTTTCAAACTGTCACATCCCTGGACAGGTTGATGCTTGGCTCCTGTGGTCAGAAGCTTTCCTCTCAGCCCCGTCTCCCCAGCAGACTTCCAGCTGGCGCCATCCTCACCTCACCCAGCAGCAGCCCAATGCCCTGGTCGGGGTGGTCCGACCCATTTGACCAGGCTCAGCTTAAGCAGGGGGCTGGCTGATCTCTCAGCGACCCTAAAATAAATCTTTTGTGATACGGGCGTATCTCAAATTGGGAGTGTGGCCAGGGCAATGTGCTTCCTGCTCACACAGACTGTGGAAAGGTGCTACTAACTCCAGTCTCGCCCTGTGATCCCCGCCTGGGACTCGGCCCGAGCTCAGCCCCCGACTGCCTGGGATGCTCGGTACTGTGAAGGGCTACTGTGAAGGGCGTATCATTGGGAACACATAGACCTAGGTGTCAGTCTCGCTCTTCTCCTCAGTGGGTGAGGGTCTCTCTGGCAAGTTACCCAACGTTCCTGAGACTCACTGTTCTCGTCTGTCAACCGGGTTATGTGAGCCCTGAGTCACAGGAGTGTTGGATGTGGGCCATGTTGAGCGCTGTGCCTGGGCTTTGGCAGTCGGAGCTCCGTAACTCACAGAATCACTCAGGCCTGGCACAAGGAGGGCGGTCTTAATGAGGCATTTTTGTTTGTTTGTTTGTTTGTTTGTTTGATTGTTTGCTTAGTTAATTTGTTTATTTATTATTTATTTATTTGAGTCCCGAAGGTGGTTAGGGAGAGGAGGGGAGAGAGAGAGAGGAAGAGGAGCATCCGTTGGTTGCCTCTCACACACGCCCTGACCGGGGACCAAACCTGCAAACCCTTGGTCCACGGGACGACACTCCAACCAACACAGCCACACCGGCCAGGGCCCTTTAGGAGGCATTTAGACACCCTGAGAATCATGCACTCACTCGCTGACACAAACATGCTCTGGCATGAGATGTGCACACCTCTCAGCCACACCCCCGTGCTGCACACCTGCCCACACGGCCCCTCTGCACCCCCTCCCCCCATCTCTTCCTTGTGCCCTGAAGAGCTCATTTCCAGCCCCGCAGCCCCAGTGAGGAGGGGACGCTCCACCTGTGCGAGGAGAGCGCCCTCCTCCGGTTCCTGCAGGGAGATGGTCAGAGGGAGTCTGCAGGGTGGGCTGGTGCTCCGAACAGGTCAAGTTCTAGGGCGCCCTGCTAGGGGCTGACCTCAGCCTGTCTGGATTTTCTGTCGCAGGCCAAACCAAGACTTGGAGACCTGATTGAGATTTCCCGTGATGGTTTCCAGCACTGGGCCATCTATGTGGGAGATGGCTACGTGGTCCATGTGGTTCCTCTGGGTAAGGACTGTGAAAGCACAATTTTCAAAAGTTTTGTTAACACAATGAGAATAATTCTAAGCCGAATGCCACCATGGGAAACCCTAGTTGGTTTCTCTCTGAGCAGTGGGTGGGCTCACCCTCCATCCATGTCCCTCTGAGTCACCCCAGTGGGTCGGTCCCACAGGGCCTGACATGGCAGGGAAAGAGGTTTGTGGGTGCCCCAGTGGAGAAGAGAACACGGCTGCAGCCCCGGGACCTGGGCTGTGTCTGCATGTGGAGGGGAGGGGGGTTCTTAAGGGAGGGGGCTCAGTTCAACCCTTGGCCTTCAGACTGGAACCAGAAACTGAGCATGCTCACTTCCTTTGCCTCCTGGCTCA